GGAGGGGGGAGCGGGGGGAGTCCCGCACCTCCAGCCGCCCGCCCCAGCCTCTCTCCGGGTCCCGTCTGCGGGACTTCCAGCGCTCTTCTCCTTCTGTCCTCCCGTCCGTCTGCCCGCCCGCCTGCCTCCTTTTTATTTTCCCTGCCAGGCACTTAAGCCCAAGCCAAAGGAGGCACAAGGAAAAATACAGCCGTGGGCTCCAGGGCTATAAATACAGCTCGGAGCGGGAGCCCAAAAGTTTGGAAGCGGAGGGAAGGAGGGAGGGAGAAGGCAGCGTCCGCAGACAAAAGCCCGGGACCGCTCCGCCGCCGCCGGTGCTGCGGCTCCTCTCGGGTTTTGCGGCGACGGGCCGAGTCCCTTTGCTGTTGGTTTGAGGGGGGCTTTTTTTCGGGGGCAGGGCGGCGGCAGTAGGTTCGGCGCAGTCTTCATTTCGGGCTTGAATATGTGAATTTTAAGCGAAAAATACCAGCCGACCGATCAGCCAACTTTGGCAGTTGCTATCGCTAGTGGGAACTTTCCTCACGCAGCTGAAGCTGCTGGTGGAGGGTGGGTTTCTTTGGTTTGTTTTGGGGTTATGTGTTTTTGGTTTGTTTCTTTTTTTTTCTTTTTTTTTCTTTTTTTTTTTTTTTTTAAGCTGGTGAAATTTAAGAGGCTGAACATTTACTTATTCTCTCTGTGGCTTGTGAGTCCACCAGCGAGGCAGAGAAAAACAACCAGCTGGCTCTTTAAAGGAGGGTTAGCGGCGCCTCTACCTGTTCTGTGTCATTGTCCGTCGGGACACCCCACAAGCGGGGCTACGGTCCGCCCTAAAAGTAACACGGGGATGTCAGAGAGGAAATGGCCAACATATGTCCCCTGTATCCTAAGCATATATTCATGTTGACTGCTTTTTTTCTTCATCCTACATAAGCAATTGGTATCAGGCTGAAAGTATAGCTCTTTCTCAGGACTGAGCAATACCCAGCGGTACTGTGCCCAGAATAACAACAACGACGACAACAAAAGAGTCAAGGAAATGTGCACACACTGGGTGAAGCAGGGAGAAACCGACCCGTTTTTGGAGGCCATCTCTTTGGGAGATGAGGGGTTGTAGGGAGGAAGCGAGTCTGGAGGGAGGAAACGAAGCAGGGAGAGTGACTTCCAGCCTCTAAAAGCCCAAAGAGGGAGAAGCCAAACTGCTGGGCAGCGAGGGTGCCAACTGGAAGCAGGGAGAGGCCACAAAACACAGTGTGGAAAGATGCTGCCGGGAGCTGCTGGGCTGCCCGGCCCCACCGCGGCCGGGGGGAAGGAGAGGCCCTCACCCCCGGGAGGGAGAAATACCAGCAGCAAGGCAGAAATAAAGTGGGCTGAGGGAATAAGGGGCTGAGGAGGCAGAAGGAGTTAATCAGAAGGAACAAACAGGCGGCAGCTCAGCCCTGAAGCTCTGCTGGAGTTACTGCCAAGCGCCAGGCAGACGGAGGTAGGTATTCCTGCACTGAAGAGCTCTGCAGGATTCAGAGGAGCTGTAGTTGGGACCCTCCTACGTCCCCGACAGTTGCAGCAGCCAGCTTTACCGTGCACTGCTCCGAAATGGGGGGCTGGAGGCTCCTGCTCGGCGCCCTGCCCCATGCCACTGTCACCTAAGGAGGAAGGGTTGATGGCTTGCCAGCCTTCGAGGTTCTTGTTTACTTAGGAGATTGTTTTGGGGTTGGGGAAAGGAAGAGGAGGTGAGAGAAACAACTTATCTGCTTTATCGTGGAAAATTCACGGGTGGTCAAAGTCTTAGGACTTAACAGCACCGTGCAGTTTTTGTGGCTGCGGGGCTGTGGAGCCACCCCTAATGATGCCTCCCTGGGCTAGCTCTCACCACATTTGGCCTTCCACACATGTAACACTTGGAGCAGAGGCTTCTCCCCCTCGCCCCATGCACACGTGCTGCCACCAGGCCACCACAGCTTTATTGACAACAGATTTCTAGTAACTGCAGAGTTATTTTCAGGGGGATGGATGGCATTGCCAGCCGTCACAGCCCATCAGTGTGTGGGCATGGGGGCAGCGAGGTGCACCCTCATCCTGCCCACTCAGCTGGCGTCCCCCCTTGCTGGGAAGTGGCTGCCAGCCCTCCAGGAGCAGCCTGCAGCCAGGGCTTGGTCTATTTAAAGCCTTCTCTGCTGCTGCAGACTCCAGGCAGCCTATGCCAATCCCCTCGGCTTGGCAACATTATTTTTGGCCATGGCTCCCTCCCGCAGTGTAGGAAATACAGTAAAATTAAAACAAACAGAAAAGAAATAAAGAATGAGAGAACGAGAGAGAGAACGAGAGAACGAGAGAGAGAGAGAGAGAGAGAAAGAAAGAAAGAAAGAGAGAGAGAGAGAAAGAGAGAAAGAGAGAGAGAGAGAAAGAGAGAAAGAGAGAGAGAGAGAAAGAGAGAAAGAGAGAGAGAGAGAAAGAGAGAAAGAGAGAGAGAGAGAAAGAGAGAAAGAGAGAGAGAGAGAAAGAGAGAAAGAGAGAGAGAGAGAAAGAGAGAAAGAGAGAGAGAGAGAAAGAGAGAAAGAGAGAGAGAGAGAAAGAGAGAAAGAGAGAGAGAGAGAAAGAGAGAAAGAGAGAGAGAGAGAAAGAGAGAAAGAGAGAGAGAGAGAAAGAGAGAAAGAGAGAGAGAGAGAAAGAGAGAAAGAGAGAGAGAGAGAAAGAGAGAAAGAAATGCCAAGTGAGCATTGCTGACGGAGGAAGGAGAGGAGCCCACAGGTGCCACGTGTTTGCCCTGCCATGCCCTTCTGTGGTTGTCATCTCTCCAGCTGTGGCACCTCCACCTGACTGCTGTGGGGTGGCAAGTGTGGGGTGAAAGGAGGTGGCATGGCAGTGCAGCCCCACACTGGCCACCGTGGGGCCTTCTCCACTGCATATTTGCTGGCCCGCCCCCTCCCTGAGCTAGGAGAGGGTGTCCACCCTTCTGTTCCACGCCATGGGACCAGCAACTTTCCCCAAGGCCTGGGGTGGCTGCTGGGGATGGGTTTGGGACCACCGCAGTCTGAACTGCCATTTAGGTAGGATAGACCTCTCTGTGCAGACACCACTGGCTTTGGGATGATGCTGGATCCAGCTGGAGTGGCCTGGCTTTCGTCTTCACCCTGTCTTCAGGGAGAGGTGTTAGGATGCACTGCAGCTTTGCTGGTGCAGGTGGAGATTGAATTCTGATGTTGTTCATTCAACTACCATGGCTTGGCCTTAAGAACAGAGTAGTAATGAAAAAAGACATTTAAACAAATCCTATTCCTGAATTGAGGCCACGAGAGTCGTAGGCACAATGCAGACCAGAAACAAAGAAGCCCATGCTTTCCCAGAAAACTTTATCTGTCAAAACTTCACAGAAAACATGAGAGGATGTGGTTTAGGGAGGGAAAGTAAATCCATTAGGGAAAAAAGAAACCCCTTTCACTGGTGCAGAAGAAAACACCACATAACTTTGTAATGTGAAAGCACCGCCTGATTATGTTTTTTCTTCTAATATACCAACCTACATTTCCATCTCTATGCAGAGAGCATGAATATATGCATTTATGTAAAATACATTCTTTACTGAAAAATGGGTAGTACTTCTACTCACAGGCTGTAAGTTAATTTTGCCACCTTCCTTGGAGAGACTCAGGTATTACTTTCCTTCACACACTGTGAAGTCTGATAGACCTTTCCCCATGCCCTTTACACACCTTCCTGCTGCTTCAGCTGCCCCTCCTTCCAACATATTTTCCTTTCTTTGGCTCACTAAGAAGCAAAAGGAAGACAGGGAGGGCTAAGGATAGAAATGATGGGGGTGGGCGCTGGGAGGATAAAGAAAGAGGTGGAACTTGCTTTTCTTCAGTTTTGCCTTAGCAATCAGTATCGCTCTTGTGATAAAGCCTGCCTTTGCTAACCCTAGTCAGACAGAGCTGCTCTTGGCCCAGACTGACCTCCTGCTGCTGGCAGTCTCATCGTCCTCTGACTTTCTCTACTTCCTCTACTCAAGAGCTGAGTGCTGTCCTGCCCTGTCGCTTGCTTGCATTCATGCATATTGTACTTCAAAATATATTACTTCACTAATCAGTTCATCTGGTTAACAGAAAGATTAATAGTCTTACCTTATTAAGTCGAGTGCATGTGTCTCTATACTCAGAGTATTCAAAGAACTACAGGGTATGATTAAGCTACAGAGAAGTTCCATTATAACCTTGTTTTCCATATGTTCAAAGCGTTCTGAAAATGTCGCCTTTGGAACTCAAATTTCCTGTGTCTAGTAAAAACTATTAACGTGCCAGGAAGTCTTCCTCTGAACACAAAACCCAGCCTTTCAGAAAATTCACTGTATGTTTAAAGTACAAAGCAGGACTTACATTTTAACTTAAATACTTCCAAATAAAATTTTTTGCTCTGAACTTACATGTCCTTGAGAGCCAGGATTGCTTGTCCAGCTGCTGGTACAGGCAGGATATGGGTTTTATTTTAAAATGGGCTCTGAGAGGCTCACTGTACGGAGTGGCTGCTGCTGAAGTCCAAAACCCTTATGCCAGGTTTTGCAGCTCCTCAGTGCCATACTGCAGCTCCCTGGGCCCACACTGTTCCTCTCTTCTTCCTCCTTGTGGCTTACCTCTACGCAACACAAATTACCTGTGGTCACTTGTGGCTAATACACATGTAACTCCCCTGTCATGCAGCTCATTCTGTTTTTACATGCTTCTCTCACCTTGGACATGCTGCTGACCACAACCAACAACACCAGGCTCCTCAAAGGGTTTGGTTCCCCCTGATGTGATCATGGTTTACAGTTTAATTTT